GAAACTACTAACGTGTACAATTCTGATCTATAAATGTCTCTTGCACATTTCTTTACATATCTTTCTTGGAGAACATGCATTGATAAAGCATTTTTTTTCAAGATCCAGAAATGATTTTTCTTTTAATTTCGGATATGAAATGTAAAATGCGTTAAAGAAATAAATTATCAGTTAAAAAACGGGGGTCACCGATCTTTTTAGGAAATTGTGGCATTAAAACGTGAAATACAAGTAAATAAATATACTACAGACACAGGAACCCTAGCTACACTTTTGTATGCCTTTTTTGAAAACATTGATTTTAACGTAATTCTTTGCACGAATGTAACCAAAGATGTTTTGAAGTAACATAAAATTGTCATAAAATGATATTTTGTTTTAAACGGTACGTATAATGGATGAAATTATAAGTTATAAGATGTGCGCAGTAAAAGTGCGCAATGCAAAAGTGCGGAATTACCTTAATGTCACGTATTTGCAATGAAAAGTGTTCAAAACCTAAAATCTTTTTGGCGTTCCCTCAAAATTACTTTGTTTTAGCTTTATTCTCTAGTTTAGAGTTAGCTACCTTTTTAAATGCATCTTCCGGTTGAGAAACATAAAATAATAGTTAAAAATTGTCAATTAAAATACAATTATCAATAATGCTTTAAAATTGACGCCATATTTACAGCCATATAAGCAAAACTTACTGAACTTCAGACATCATTTTCTCTTTGGCGTATCATCTAAAATCTCTTTGCCGATTGAGAAACGTATCGAAAAATAAAAATTTTGAATTTAGACATAACCTCAAGTGACATATTATACGCATTAGTTTTGAGCGCGTGTTAAGCCTGGTTCACATATGCCTGCGGTATGCCTGCGACTGTATCATTATGCCTCTTCTTGCCGCCGAAATACCGGCAAAGTTGAACTCAAGTCAACTTTCCCGGCCTACCGCCGATGTAACTGTGGCACTGGAGGCAATCTGTGAACAAATATTCACATAATTCACGTTTTAAGCTACCACCGGTATCGTCGCCGGTACGTCGCAGGCACGTCGCAGGCATATATGTGAACCAGGCTTAAACGTAACATACAAAAAAATCTCCTCTTAATTAAGAAGCTAGTATGCATCCATTGTTATAGCCATGAGTCGTGAGTAAAATCGTTTCAACGCATACAGTCATCCTTTGAACGATGTTATTTAATGTCATGATATAGCACATATGAGAAACATATAAAAAGGCTTTAAGGTGGCTCAATACAGTTTTTAAACCAATTAACCTCGTACCCAAGCGCAGAAGCCCTGGGTACGAGGTTGATATTTGACATACTCTTCCTTAACTAATTATAATATTTGCAACAGGTCGTCAAGGTGGTCTCAAATGGAAAGGTGGTGGCAAAGGGAAAGGTATAAATATTTAAATGTTTTAAATGTATTAATTAAGAAGCTAGTATGCATCCATTGTTATAGTACATAATTAATTTGTAAGACGGACAAGGCGGTGGCAAAGGGGAAGGTATAAATATTTAGATTTTTATTAAATTTACTAATTAGAAAGCTACTATGCATCCATTGTTATAGTACAGGAGTCGTGAGTAAAATCATTTCAACGCACACAGTCATCCTTTGAACGATGTTATTTAATGTCATGATATAGACATATAGACCCATTGCACTGACGTCACAAATCCTTAGAGTGTCGTGAGATGCTCCCTAACAATACCTGTTCGGGTACAATCACAGGCGGCCCAATCTCGCAAGGGTCAGTATAGACTTATAGTATAAATGTATATTATATTAATGTATATTATAGTAAAAATATGTCGTAAAATATAAATTTTAAAATGAAATTGACTTGCCTATTTGATAGTGTGTGTTCTCCTTTTATTCCTCCTTTGTTAGACTAATATTTTCCGAGACTTTGTACTCGATGTTACTAGTATACATGAAACATGATAAAGGCTAACGATTCCCGATCGTCGATACGACGGCACGACACTTCGAATCGAAAATTTTCACACTCAAATCGCTTTATTCTCCAAACAAATTCGCCAGCATGTACAACAAATGCCGTTCTTCGAAAATACAGAGGTACTTCGGCGAGATGTACAAGTTTTGGACCATATTTTAACAATGGAAATCAAAACCCATTTTATATTGAACTTACCCGGACCGAAAATTACTACGGCGAACGCCTGCGCAACCAGGCCTCCTTTACCGTTGGATTTACAGGGGGGAAGCAGATATTTCCGGTAACAGCCAGCCAATCGCGGCCGCGATAGCGACTGTTTACATTATTTGAAATTTGATATTCAAAATAAAAACTCCTTCGATCGGATACTGTATAAAACTCGAAATGTTGTCGAAGAAAAGAAAACTAAACGACGGAGATTGAAGAAATTTAAGGAAGAAGTAATATACAGCGGCTCTTTGTTGGAAAGCATGGTAGAATATGATACTTTAATTCGAAATATTATCGTGAATATATTAGTGGCATCCTCCCCCCCCCCTGTAAATCCAACGGTAAAGGAGGCCTGGTTGCGCAGGCTTTCGCCGTAGTAATTTTCGGTCCGGGTAAGTTCAATATAAAATGGGTTTTGATTTCCATTGTTAAAATATGGTCCAAAACTTGTACATCTCGCCGAAATACCTCTGTATTTTTGAAGAACGGCATTTGTTGTACATGCTGGCGATTTTTTTTTGAGAATAAAGCGATTTGAGTGTGAGAATTTTCGATTCGAAGTGCCGTGCCGTCGTATCGACGATCGGGAATCGTTAGCCTTTATCATGTTTCATGTATACTAGTAACATCGAGTACAAAGTCTCGGAAAATATTAGTCCAACAAAGGAGGAATAAAAGGAGAACACACACTAGCAAATAGGCAAGTCAATTTCATTTTAAAATTTATATTTTACGACATATTTTTACTATAATATACATTAATATAATATACATTTATACTATAACTGTATAAGTCTATACTGACCCTTGCGAGATTGGGCCACCTGTGGTACAATAACCACATACAGCGCAACAATTAACATTTTTAATACAAAATTATTATAAAGTTTTACAAAATTTGCTTTGTTTACAGAAGTTATATTATGCATAGATTGCTAATTTGTCCTCCAGATGCATCGTCACCGGCGCTGTGACGTTATGTGCAATGGGTCTATAGCACATATGAGAAACATATAAAAAGGCTTTAAGGGCACAGTTCAGCCTTTTGAATGATGGTTTTAAGGCGCATTTCAGCCCTTCTAATTGAAAAAACTAACTAGAAAAATCAATTAAACATAATTCAAGATCGGTAAACTCAATGCTTTTAACCGAACAAAAATGTTTTAAAATGTTAAACACATTAAGTTTACTACTCTTGAATTATGCTTAATTGATTTTCCTTGTTAGTTTTTTCAATTTAGAAGAGCTAAAATGCGCCTTAAAAACCATCACTCAAAAGGCTGAACTGTGCCTTAGGTGACTCAATACAGTTTTTAAAATATGGAAAATTTACTATTAAAATCCGTATTTTAATTTGGGCAATTGAAAAGCGAAAAGTATCAAAGGAGCGTGTGAATTGAACTAGTTGCATATTGTTAGCACTGATGAAGATCCGGGCTTACGGATCGAAAGCTTTGCAGAAATAAATTTACATGGTGTTTCCACAACAAAAAGTATTGTAAAAAGTATCTTACTGTTATAAAAGAAATTTTCCACAAAAGTTACACAACTGCCGTTGCTATGGCAACAATAACGTTTCAATGTGGCTGATATTTTGTCGTTCACGAGCCACAGTGAAAAGACAACAATGACCTTCAATATAAGGGTCAAATAGATTAAAAAAGACGTCAAATTTGTAATGTTTAAAGCCATCAGTGGTTTAAGCTAATGTTAATATAATCTATTTGCATGCATTACATAATTAATTTGTAAGACGTGCTGTCGACATCTTTTTTGACCACAGAAACGTATATTTCACCAACCTTGTACCCAAGCGCAGAAGCCCTGGGTACGAGGTTGATATTTGACATACTCTTCCTTAACTAATATTCTAATATTTACAACAGGTGGTTATGATCATCATCATGATTGTCATGATCATCATCATCATGATCGTTATTATGATTGTCATCATGATCATCATGATCATCATCATGGTCATCATCATGGTCATCATCATCATCATCATCATCATCATCATCATCATCATCATCATCATGATCGTCATCAACGTCATGCGTCATGTTCTGACACTGTACAGTACGTCAAATGTTGTCCTGAAACGGATTACCATCCTTCTGTGTGTGACTGTGAAGACAGGGATGTATGTTATATACAGATGACAATCACCAGAAATGCTGACGTCGAAAAGAGAGGGGATGAGGGCAGTAAGTACAGCGTCAATGACGGAAGAATTGGCCCTACTATTATCATAAACCATGACCAAATATTAGTAGTTGATGTTATCAATAATCTGCCCAACGACAATACTTCAATACATTGGCATGGCATGCACCAGAACAATGTGGGGTGGATAGATGGTGTTGGAATGATCACACAGTGGCCTATACCTCCTAATGGCGGAAAATTCAGGTATGCTTCATTTATATTATTGGTATTTTATGCTTTGATATTGTACATATACCGGGTGTCCCCCAAAAAACTTGCGTTGTTTGATTTAATGTAACGTAAAAACTATAAAAGCTATTGCACTCAAATATGTTTTATTGTATTCAGAAAGGGCTAACTTAGATTTTGATATATAACATTTGAATATCCGTGCCATAGTTACTGAGCTATCGATGTTTTAAATTGAAAAACATATCTGACAATTTTAATATTTGTTTAACCTTGATATGTAGTTTTATTGTGGCCAAAAGAACGAATGAAAAACATATAATTGTTGGAAAACCAATTTATTCATTCGTTTTAGAAAGTACGTCTATACAATGTCTTGCACGGGAAATCATAAAACCCAAACTTTTTGATGTTTTGAGGCATATTCGAAAAGCGAACCAAGACCAACTTTATAATACGAACTCCCATTAAAGGGCGTCAAATATGATTTCGAACGTTTTTAAATGTTTCATGCTTATTTTGCTTCCTAAGAACCACGAAAGGCTAACTTATACTAGGACATTACCCGAAATTAAAGTTGAGTTGAAATGCTAGAATTGAAATTGTTAATTTTCGTGGAAAATGGCAATTGTTTTCATATAAATTTGATAGTAGTAGTAAATTCTTAAACACGTCCGAATTTATCATTATGACTGATAAATTCGCGGCACATTTTGAATTTATCATAATAATAAATTCGCGGCACCTAACACTAACCCCAACCACTAACCATTAACTCCTAACCCTAACTTTTTTAACTTTTTAAACTTTTTTGAAAATCGAACTTTTTAAACTTTTTTTGCCTTTTAAAACTCTTTTAAAAACTATTTTTTTGAAAACCTTGAAAACTCATGTTGATGTATTATATGTTAGATATATTCTCCGAGCTCATCCCTCAGGAACCAATTGGTATCATTCTCACACGGGAGAACAGAGAGATAATGGCATTTTTGGTGCTTTGATCGTAAAAGAGAAACGAGAAGTGGTCTGTACGTTGTCCTCGAGAATGAAAATTAATTCTATCCACGACAATCAATATCATATGATGGCTGTCACAGAACACATGAAAATGCAACGTCCCACCGATGAACAGTGTACAAGTGATGCGTCCAAACCTGCTACTGACCTTCAAATCCAATCATTTCAAATAAACGGGAAACAACTAAATCAAACAATAGACGAAAAGGGCGAAACTAATCAGGTAACTAATTTTACAGAGTTTTTTAACAATACAGGGTGTATCAAAAAAAACTGAACAGATTTAAAATTGCTCTCAATTTCGCAAAACAGCTATTTGTATCCGGTTTTTTATATATATAGCCTCTTTGGGTACTTATAATGTAGAATAATGAGAAAAATTTCTCGAACTCAAATTTTGTGAACCAGGGGGGTGTGTCTTTTCCAACAAACTAAAAATGGCTCGCGCACAAAATTTAAAAGCTGCAATCATATTTTGAGTTAACAGATAAAAAATTTGTCGGGATTTTAATTACTGTACAAAATTTCAGACAATTTGGTTTAGTTTAAGCCCCTTAACTATTCACGCAAAGTTACAATTTTCCCGAAAAATCAGCTATTTGCATGCTTAATTAATGCATTTGCCTAATTTGCATATGTCAGCAATATGCAAATTAGGTAAAGGCATTAATTAAGCATGCGAAAGGCTGACTTTTTAGAACAAAATGAATAGTTAAAGGGCTTAAACTAAACCAAATTGTCTGAAATTTTGTACAGTAATTAAAAACCCGATAAATTTTCAATCTATTAACTCAAAATATGATTACAGCTTTTATATTTTGTGCGCGAGCCATTTTTAGTTTGTTGGGAAGGACACACCCCCCTGGTTTACAAAATTTGAGTTCGAGAAATTTTTTTCATTATTTTACATTATAAGTACCCAAAGAAGCTATATATATATAAAAACAGATACAAATAGGTGTTTTGCGAAATTGAGAGCAATTTCAAATCTGTTCAGTTTTTTTTTATACACCCTGTAGTATATGCAAACCAAAAAATATATATTTAAGAGCGAGGTGCAAATCAGTGAAATCACTTCTAAAAAGTGTAGAGGCCATAAAGCCGTACGATTATTTTTGTGATTTTTTCTTCTTTTTTGTGGAGATATTTATTTTTGTAATTTGTTTTGTAATTTTCAGTTTTGTGATTTTTCTGGAGGTGTATGTGATTGAAATCAGTGATTTATGCTTCGCTTAAGAGGCCTATATGCATGAACAAAGAACACATAAAATGGGTCGTTTTAAACTCATTGTATAGTTAAAATACTCGCACGGTCCGTGCTTCATTAGGTATAAAACACTTGACTAGCGCCTCGCGTTTTATGTCTGATAAAGCATTAATGTTCGTCTTTTAAATAGTACGTAAAAATGCCAATTAATTTAATTACACGCCACATTTACTGGAATATAAGCAGGGCCGTTTCTAGCGCGATAATTCGGGGGGGGGGGGTGTATATTCGTGTTCTGCCCGACGGGTTTCTTTTGAAAGCGATTATTTTTACGGTATGTGAACATGAATATATGAATATACACCCTCCCCAATTATTGCGTCTAGGAACGGCCCTGAATATAAACAAAACTTACTGAATTTAAGCCATCAAAAATTAAAAATTTTGAATGTATACTCGTAGCCTATATTCTCGTTATAACCTCAACTCGTCACATAGGCGCCGGTATACGGAGGGAAAATTTAGGGGGGGGGGGCAAAAATTTCCGTGTAAAATTTCCAAAATTCTTGTCGACGGGGGAGGGGTTAACATTTTTCAAAACCAATTATATATTTCCTTATTTTTCGACTATTGTCTTATTTCTCCCATGTTTTTGCTTGTTTGTAATTTACCCAACTTCATTCCCCTCAAACTCAGGCATACATCCGTCAAAAAAGTAATTGGCCGTTTTTATACTAGAGACGCATTATGCGTCTGGACGCTTAATGCGTCTTCTACATTATTCGTCTAGTATAAAGACGGGACGAATAATACTAGACGAATAATGTAGAAGACGGATTATGCGTCCAGACGCATAATACGTCTCTAGTATAAAAACGGCCATTGGCAGCCCTGTGCGTGTGAACTTACATTGCAAAGCTCAATCATTGTTGATGAATCTCACAATAGAAATTACAATTTTCAGGAACCATCCTTCGCTGTATCTCCTGGAGAGAATTATCGTTTTCGAGTCCTTGGAGCCATGGAAGAAACTGTTATTCGTGTTTCTATCGACGATCATACATTGGTTGTGGTTGCTACGGACGGATATCTTACAGAACCATTTGAAGCCGACATTTTGCATGTCCATGCGGGCGAGCGTTACGACTTTATTCTGAAGGCACGTCACAAAATTTCTTTGAAAACTGTTTTTCCAATTAGAATCGAATCTGTCGACGTGTATTGCAAACGCCACAACATACCTGCACGCGTTGGCTTTGCATATCTGAAATACTCCAATTCAGGAACAAACATTAGGGGAAAGGTACCGAAGAGTTCAAAGCAGTGTATTAAAGATTGTAAAGCATTGAATTGTCCTTTCGCTGCTTATCCGGTAGATCATAAAGATCTTACAAACGCTCCATCTTATAATTGCATCGACGTGTACGATGCTCTTAGTCTTCTCGTTCCAACTCCAGATTACGAGCTTTCCAAGGAAGAAACGCCAGCGAGCACGAAGTTTTTCAACCATGCTTTCAATGACACAAGTCATAATGAGTTTACAGCAAGGATTAATAACATTCATTTTACGTTTCCCAAAACTCCTTTCCCCGTGCGTGGACTGGAAAATCGTGTAAAAGATGAATGTCCTTATAACACGACTGAGGAATGTAAAAGATGCCCACACACAGTCTCTGTGGATCAAAAAGACCAGTTGAAACCAATAGAATTCGTGCTCTCCTCACTTCCGCGAGAAGAGAAATTTGAGACTGACGTAGTCACAAAGCTCGGAACACATCCCATACATCTGCACGGTCGATCATTTTGGGTGAAAGAAATTGCCTATCCAAAATATTTTGATAATGGAAAAATTCGGGAAGATAACGATGATGTGGAAGTGCCACGTTGTGGTTTTGGGAAGTGGAAGAACGGAAGACCATCTTCAATCAAACCAGTGAACAAAACATCGATCCGGAAAGACACAATTATCGTCCCAGCTGGTGGGTATGTTGTCATTGAGTTCGTGGCACATAATCCAGGATCGTGGTTAATGCACTGTCATATTGACCATCATCTGGAAGTGGGGATGGGAATTGTCATAAAAGAATTGCCGAAATGTGCAAATCCTCCTCCATCGCAATTTATGAAACTAACTAAGAAAGTTTGCATCAGCGTTGACGAGTTTCTTGAAAGAGAGAGCAATTTTACGCTATGCCCTGACATTAAAATAGCAGTTGGCCAAAAAACCCCGAGAGAATTGCAAAAAGACGAATTTGAAGATTTCAACAGCTTTAACGACGACGCTAATGATGAATCTGCATACCGCAAACTGAAGAAATCTCTGGATTACGAAGAAGAACAACAGCACCCAAGATCCAATTTACGTGGATTTCAAAACGGCAAGGCTTTGAACGGAGAAAGCAGAGAATGGTTTAAGAAAAAATGAACAAAAGCTCTCGCAATTTGAAAGTTGAGTTCTTTTAAATGAAATTGCTTATAGATAGTGCTTGCAATAACAGTATCAGCTGTGAACTGCTAAGATTTAGATGCCCAAAGGACTCAACTGAAAACTCATTAAATTGTTACAATATTTTGACTATTTTAGCCTAGAACTTTTATCTTAAATTTACTGCACGTTTATATACCAGTAACGTAGATTCCTGCACTTTTTGTAGTAAGTACAGTTAAATATTACATCTTTTGCTTTAATCTTACAGTTTTTATCAGTTGTTAACATCAACAAGAGCATGGGGGCAGTTGTACGAAAGTTGGATAGCACTATCCACCGCCGATTTTTTCAGGCTTTCTTAAATTGGCCGTTGACTGAAACCAGATTGAACTTAAGTAGCCTTTTACTAATTGTGCATGGGATCCATATTCGTAGTCTTATCACTTTTCAGGCATTTTTATAACAGTTGAAAATATCTGTGTATATAATATCTGAAAATATAGCGGCGCTATCCGGCCTTCGTAAAACCGGTTCCAGATGTTTCTTCCAACGATGCCCTGATTTGTCTGCTATATATGCTCATGCACCTCTTTTGCGGGAACCACTGAGGCCAAAAAAAAAATATGTGGGTTTCCGGTTTCTTCTTATAAAAACTTAGGTAGGGTAGGTCGGTTTTAACTTTTTTTTTTTAACTTTTTTTTATTTTTCCGAACAAGCGGACGCCATTTTGTTTAGTCAGTGCTTCCACATCCAAAGATAAATTTTCCTAATATTGCCTCAAATTTCAATTTTCCACAAACTTTTTCCTCTAAGTGGAAACACTTACAAGCATGATCCAATAAAAAAGTTTAGGGTCGGGATGTCGACGTCCAAAAGCTAGGTAGGGTCGGGAAACCGGAAACCCACATATTTTTTTTTTGGCCTGAGTATTTTAATTAAATACCATACAAAAGTAAATTCAAAAACGGTAAACAATTTGATAAGTGTTTATTCGACTAAAATCTAGTCGAAACGTCGAGTAAACACTGACTTTTCAGAATGTTCGCTGTTTTCGGATTGTATTGTCTTTCGCATGAAACGGATGGATTATAAATCTGTAGGACTAGGAACACATGCCCACTCCAGGAAAAATGCAAGACTAAGGCGGATATAATATACAAGGCAGCTGGCACAACAAACAACACAAACAGCATAACACAATACATTGACATTACAGCAACCATGCATCTTTAAAGAGCGATACTGATACCACTCTTTCACTTACAAAAAATACTTTCGAAATACATGTGGAAATTGAAAGAAAACAAACACGATTTCGACATAACTTGGTCAATACTAAAACATGTTGTTTTTATATGGGAGGATAAAAAAGATGTGATTTGTGTTTAGAGGAAAAACTCTGTATTTTGAAAGAACAAAATAAACAATTTTTTTCGGAAATAGGTTCAACCTGTATTCCTGTAATCATAAAAAACATTCCTAGTAAACAACGATGGCAGGAATCCATTTTTAAAGCAGCCCATTTTTCGAAATTTGTCATACAGCGACCTGATCATTCCTCATGGATAAAACAGGCTGTTGTGGCAACCTTCCGATGTAAAAAAATTATATATCCAGTGGCGTAGCCAAGGGGGGGCGACCGCCCCCCCCTCCCCAATCGCAAAAAAACCATTCTCTTAAAAAGGCTAAATCCGTAGAGAAATGGGGGTACACGTTACATGCTCGAAGCTGAAACTGATTAAGTACGTCTCGACTGAGGAAAAAGACGATATACTGGAGGAACTTGATGTGTAAAATCTCGTTAAAGCAGTTGTAGATATGGTTCCAAGAAGAATAGATTTAGTTTAGATTTACATGTATGCATTTAATATGTCATAGTTTGTCATAGCATGAATATTCTTCTCAGACTTATTCTGTAAAGTCTGTATCGTATATAAAAAAGCAACGCAATTTTGAGAATGCGGAAATGCTATCTCACAGAACCTAGAATGATTTAAACGCAACATATATATTGGGATCAGTTCTCCCCCCAACATCAAATAATAAGATGGTTGGCACTATATTTCCCATCCAACAAACCGACCTGATGTCATTTTCGGAAGATGGAAGATGTGTTAAATGCCAAACCCTAGCAGTTGTGTATAAACGCAAGAGCGATTTCTTATAAATCCGTGTTGATGTGGAGTAATGAGATTATTAATTCTTGTTGTTGTATGGCTCTGGGTCCGCACCTCCGCCCACCCCCTGTCGGGGCGGAGGCGAGGGGGGGGGGGAGTGGCGGAGGCGAGACCCCGTGCTGGCCTGCTGATCCGCAGGCACACGTAAAAAATAAAAATCTCACAACTTGTCAACAAGCTGTGTTCGCAACAGGCTTGTAGCAAGCTTGTCAACAAGTCGTAACAATGCTGTTATTTTATCAAGGTGCTACAAGGTTGTCACTCACAACTTGTTGACAAATTGCTGAATTGCAGGACGACTGATAACATGCAAGTTGTTGGAACAACTTGTAACAAAGTCTGTTGAGCTCAACAACCTTGTAGCCAGTGGCGTAACTACTATAGGCTCAGACCGGGTGAACCCAGGGGCCCCCAACCCAAATGGGGGCCCCCAGGCTTAGGCGATAGGGCAAAACATTGGCCAGGGCCTCTGATATGTTACAATGTCGTTTTATGACCATCAGAATTCTGTAAAATCTCTCCCCAAAGTCCAGGAAATGGCATTTCAGAGAGTCTAGATTCAAAAATTTTCCGGATGATCATGCCCTAGACCCCCTAGAAAACTCGTGCATATATGGTGCTCGACTCGTGCCTTTGGCACTTCTACTAGAGGGGCCTTCGAAAATTTTGAACCGGGGGCCCCTTGATATAAGGCCATGGGAATGAAAGTCATAGATTTGCGTCCGGATAATTTTGAAAAAACATGCGGGTTTTTTTCATTCATTATTCATTATTTTTTTACCATCCTTTTGGGTGGTAAATACAGAGATCAAAACACGAATTACCGTTTACGCCACGGAATTACATATATCTCGAGCTCACGCAGTTGCAGTACTGAAGATCTGTGTGCCAATTTCGCCATTTCGGTGAATATAATTTGGAATTTCATAGAATGTGGATACTGAGGACAAACACACTGCAATATGTTCATTTTATTGTAATCAATACACAATTTTATTGCTAATGTTATTGAGTTTTGCTTTATTTGTGAAAATAATGAATTTTTTTGTAAATAATGAACATTTTAGGCGGTAGCTTTTGAGGCATGCGGGCGGTGGACGCAAATCTATGACTTTCATTCCCATGGCCTAACGTTACGCCACTGCTTGTAGCAAGTTGTCAACAAGCCGTTGATAACTTGTCAACAAGCTGGGAACAAGCAGTGCGAACACATGCTGTTGACAAGTTGTTGGAACAGCATTGCTACAAGTCTGCTGCAGTTTGTTACAACTTTCGCGTTTGTACTTTTGTACGTGTGCACGCGAAACACGAGGATTACGGAGCAGGTAGTCCCGGCATGCTCAGAACAAAGATCTTTGGAAAAGACGAACAAAGACGTATTTGTAACAGGTGGGAAGTTTTTTTAATTGGTTACTGGTGAATCTATAAATTGGGTCGAATATTTCGTTGGAACATTTTCAATATATGTAGCAAAATGTCGCAATTAAACAATATTCTGTCTCGTATTGGCGAGTTTGGCCCGTTCCAAATACGTGTTTATCTTTTATTGAATTCCCTGGCCATTTTTAGATGTTTCCAAATGTATTTATTGGTATTTGTCGGGGACAAACCGCAATGGAATTGCCTAGTTGATGATCATCCTTTGGATACAAAAGAAAAATTTCCCTGTTTACAGAATGGTTCCTCGTGTGAAAATGTACAGTTTAGTGGTGAATTCACGTCGATCGCAAGCGAATGGCGGCTCATTTGCGACGAAGAATACAAGAGGAGCCTCGCCAGTGCAATAGTTATGGTGGGCTGTCTTGTTGGCGCTGTACTGTTTGGTGGAATGGCGGATAAACGGGGAAGAAAATCGACAATTATTCTGTTGTATTCAATCACTTCAATCAGTTGTGTTGCCAGTGGGCTGGCTCAGACTTACCGACAGTTTGTGCTATTCAGATTTATCACAGCTGTCATGTTGAATGGCAGCAGTACTGCTGTATTTGTGCTCATTTCTGAAACTGTTGGACAAAGCTCAAAGGGTATGTTGGTACATTTATGCCCTATGGGGACGTAGCGAAGGGAGGGTGTATGTAGGAAGTGTAACACCCTCTCTCCCCAACATGTACCCCTGCAGAAATTTTTGGAATTTCCCCTGCCCCTTCACAAATTAAAAAAAAAAAATTGACCCCTTGGAAATTTTTTTTTTTAAAAATTTGACCCCTTCGGAAATTTTCCTTTTTACAATACCCCTTGTAAATTTCAGACCCCCTTCGGAAAATCTTGTCAACAGGGGGGTGTGGATGGGCCCCTTGTTTTTGATAACACAAATTTATTGCTTGTCAAATGTTTGTATATGTCATAATCTTCAAAACCACTCTTGGAAATGCCATTACAGAGGGTTAAAATTTCAAAACATTCATGCACAGATGCCCCCGGACACCACATATCAGAATATCAGAACCCCAAGTTTGTGTGATCAACCTCGGCCTCCGGGCTTGATTATTATTCTCCATGTCATGCTCAACCTCATTCAGTAAAGGCCTATATTTCCATTCAGGAAAATTGTCAGCATCTCATGAGATTTTGTAAAATGTGATTGGTCAACACATTTTACGTCAAAAAAAAATTTTGAAGTTGAAAATTTTCAACTTATTTTTGAAATTTTTCTTGAATGGAAATGGGCCTTTATAATTGTTAATATTTCAATATTTTAGATATGCTACTGACAGCTTACCAGGGTTTCTACTCAATTGGCTATGTAATATTGAGTTTGATTGCCTATTTCATTCGAGACTGGCGATATCTGACGATGACAGTGTCATTTCCGATTGTATTTTGTTCAACGTTTCTTTTGCGAAATGGTCTTTGCGAATCCCCTCAGTGGCTGGTGGAAAATGGGCGAATTGAAGAGAGCAAGCAGCTGTTGAGAGAAATTGCAAAAACAAATGGAGCCGACATCTCGGAGACATTGCTTGAAAAGCTGTCCAACGATGTGCCCAAGGCTAACCTGAGAACTAACCAAAATAACACAAGTGTATTTGCACGACCAGGTTATGTTAAAAAGGCATTAATTTTGTCTGTAATTTGGCTATTCCTTTCAATGATGTACTCTGGTTTATCATTTCTCTCTGGCAGCCTGAGTACTAACAAATACTTGAGTTTCGGCTTATGTGGATTAGTTGAGATCCCTGCTTTGTTACTGAGCATGTGGATTATAAAATCTGGCAGAAGAATACCATTACTTACCCTTGCTCTGTTTGGTTCCTTAGCGTGTTTGGTATGTGGATGGTTACAGGGCGGTGACCAGTCACAAGGTGGTTTCTTCATCATGGCATTGGCCTTACTTGGAAAATTTGCTGTTGCAGCTTGCTACAACATAATCTATATATTTTCAGCAGAACAATTTGGTGCATCTGTACGGAGCTTTTCCATGGGTATATTTTCAACCGCAGCTAGTATAGGTGGTGTTTTGGCCCCACTGGTTATAGGGTTGGAGGTGTATGATAAGAGAATTCCTATGCTTAGTTTTGGTATTGGTGCTATACTAGCTGCTATATTTGTAATGACTTTGCCAGAGACTGTGAAGGTTCGTAAACCTCACAAAAAGACAAGTTAATGAGATTTAGGGAAGTGAATAATTAAGCTGCAGAGCTTCCCCATTGACAAGTAAAATTGTGTGGCGTTAGACAAGTAAAAAAAAAAGTAGGGCGCATGTGCCTCAATGGGTTAACTAGATACATTTTTGGTTAAACCCATTAAGCTGCAGAGCTTCCCCATTGACAATTAGTAAAATCGTCTGATGTTAGACAAGTAAAAAAATAATTAGGGTGCATTGCGGCTCAATGGGTTAATATTAAATAATTAATAATTTTCAATTTAATATATGTTAGATAATATAATTTAATATATATTTCAGTATAATATAATGATCCCTTAATTTAACCCATTTAGTTGTGTTGCATACCAATGTGTCACATAGATTAAAATACTTCAACAATGTTCAGTGGATTCTATACGAGTGGATGGTTAATATGTGGTACCGGTGGTCCGGTATGTCACCTTGGCTATAGAGCTCATTCTGGTGATTGTAATGCTTGGCTAGAAATTAACATATGTCATATACATGAAAACGAGGCTCTATATAGCCAAGGTGATGTACTTTCCAAATTAAAGGGTATATTGGTTAACCCATTGAGCACCAGTGCTCTCACCTTGACTAGTAAATCGTCCGGTGTTAACAGAGTAAAATAATAAAGTGGATTGCATTGTAACTTGAAGGGTTAATTTATGAAATAAGCAATTATTCAATCACACAATTATTCTAACTGTGAATAAATATTAGCATACAATCATTTTTTTCGTAAAAATTATTTTATTTCAAACATTAAGTCTAGCAGAAACCTTTGTACTGAAGTCTATATAGTGTCTCTGCATGTTGATAAATATTATATTTATTTACATGTACTTTTCTTACTTGTTATATCTAACCCAACAAATAAATAAAACACTACAAAAACAAGAAACTCAACAGTACTTAGCATCTTAGATAATTCAATATAAATAAATAACTGGGTCATTCCAGAAACTATCCATAGCTTCCCCACAGAAAGTTAACCCTCCTATCCCCTTCGGATGTACTATTATCAGAAACAAATCCCCCCTCCACTTCAGAAATTTCCTCTGTGAGGGGAGTGCAGATCTTTTCTGGAAAGACCAATTTGTGCTTTTTTAATTAAAAGACAAAATATACTGAGGCTATATGTATGAGCGACAAGTCAGTTGGCATAGTAAATGACCAAATAGTTGGAGCAGACTGTTGTGTTATCCATAGAGAATGTTCAAATTTGTCAATTGTATGTAATGAATTATTATGGAAAAACTTTTTTAACTTTGCCAAGCTTTGTGGCTGAGTGTGAAACTTTTTAATGCAAATATTTAATTGAAAATATTTTATTGAAAAAACTGTTAGTTATTTTTATTGCCAGTTTTTTGGTTATAATGTAAAATGAATTATGCCTAGTGACTTAGGTTTTAAGATGTAATTTGTAATTTATTTTTACTATAGTTTTAGTGAATGTAAAGCATTTAGATCTATGTGTTATAAGTGCTATACTGTATAAGCTTGTAATAATAATAATAATAATTCAACTTCTTTGAACACTTTATGGGATCAGAATCGAGCCAATACAGCCTTCTGGAAAGTACCAACCAGTACCAGCCATGGTTATAGAGCCTTATTTCCATGATTTCAAGAGACATTGATGTTAGAGGCAGTCATTAATTCCTATTGCTGATGACACAATCATTAATAGATCTAATTCATATTCACTGATATAACTGTATGGTTTTGTAAATGTGTCATCTGTAACAGGATAATGGGCTCTTAACCCAATACCTCGATCACAAAAACAAAAGCTCCATAGCCAAGAACGAGCACTTTCCGGAAGGATGTATTATGACTATCCAACAGTGGCATGATTGGGCAATCACTGATAGCTAACTAATAAAAAGTAATTATGAGTTAGAAATGTCCAGCATTAGTGTAACAATCAATGTTCTAAATAATGAATTATCGCTTCATATGTTAGAAGCAGTATAACCGTGTTGGGCACTTGTCGTAGCAAGTGCGTCCACAGTCCACCGTAAAATGCTATCCAACCCTCCTCCTTTAGGATCATCCTTGCTGTTTGCGTTACGGAACTATACCTCTCTCTGCCTAGGACCTCGTTAGACTGCTGCCGCAACCTCGTTCGCAACACCTCGTGCGGGTAACCAATGACAGCTGCCGTTGACTTCGATAGGGTTGATGCTATGACGTAAGTGGAGAAATAAAACGATTTACTGCTGTCTCTATTATAAAACTTGTTGATCTTAATTTTCATTTGCTCATAAATAAGGAAATTTATAACCGTCTCGCCAATTCCCAAATATGAAGCAGTTAGGCCACAATAAAACTTCCTTATGCCCTCTTTCTTATAAATATTCTGTATTGTCCTCCATAAACCTTTCTGATTGCCCCCATAACGCGAGCATTCTAACTGCAGTCTCGTTTTTAAAAACCACACGGGATTTGTCATAGTACATGTTGTAAAGCCAGCGACAACCGAAGAAGCTACAGGCAAAATTGCGCTGTCATCTTTCAAGTTTCCTGTTGACAACAAGAAATGTTTGCTGTTTGAATAGACTGCGAAGTAGATAGCCCTTGATGGCGCTATGCCGAGTAAATGTAGCTCCAAACCACGAAAAAGCGATGGCCACCCTTCGGATTTTATCATGTACCGCATGTACGAGAACACAGCACTATATGGTTTAGATTGAGTGCTGATAACCGCTTGGTTTGAACCTGCCAAATTAATATTGCCATAATTCACTTTTTCTAAACGGTATCCAGACGATTGCAGTCTTGTTTTAATCACATCAAACGGGGATGTTAAAACAGCGCCAACTGCTCCCCCTAAACCTCCGGCAACAAAGTGATTTACTATTGAAAATTGTTTTCTTTTCGGCTTCTCGCTGATAGACATTTCATATCTTCTTCAGGTTTATACTGTATGGTTTTCCACGCGAGTGCTGCACGCATTGTTCGTGGGAGGGGGCGTAGGGGAGGTGCGACCACTGAGTGAACTATAAAGTATTTATAAGGAATTTATAAGGACTTCTGGTTCAAATATAGGAGAGAGCCGTGGGTGAAACATTCTCTCATTTTTCTACACATTGTACCGTCGTTTGCGTTTAATCGGCGAACAGCAACAGATACATTTCCATCTGTGGTTAATCTTCGATATTTTACAAAAATCCATGCAAACTCAAAACGAAAATGAACATGGTGTTTTTCAATAGCTTTCCATAAAAAATTGCAAAATTTCACGTGAGCATAGAAAATCTTGAAGGAAATCCAGCAGCCTAATTCAATTTAAAGAGCCTGTTCGCAGGCTAGAAATCCAGTGATGGCAAATTTCCTCGCGTGGTACCCGCGTGAGATTACAGGAGGGGAAATATTTTTCTGCAGGTTAGAATGACTCCGGGGGGAGTGTCTTGTCGTACACAACAATGGTGGAACGAAAAGACATTTCATTGTCAACCTTTATGGTTTTAAATGTAATTTTTGGCCCTTCTTCGTCGAAGAAATGAGTTGAAATGGACGGTGCGTATATTTTAAGAATTCTTTAACTTAAAGTTGTTGTTATTTAGAGAGAAACCGAGCCGTTTATTGAGAAATTGTTAGCCAAAGACCTTGTGTAATATTTAGAAAATCCCGGATTAAATTGGCATTTTGTTTTTAATATAGAAGAAAGCACAACAGCCTCGCTTCAGGCTAGAGTGCAAGAGCTAGAGGGAAAACAAAATGAACTGCTGTCAACAATTGAAGTTAGAGAACATGAGTTTGGCAAAAAGAGAGCTCAATTTAAAGAGATATTTCTTCAGAAAGAAAGTAAGCTTTTTAAACCTACGTTTTTATTTCTTTGTCTTTAAATGTAATTCGTTTTATAGTTTAATGTATTAAATATCTTAAATATCATAATTGCATTGCATTGTGAAAATGGTTTTGTAAACAAAAAAGTTTTTATGTTATGCAAATTTGTAATGGCCATTTGTAAGTTAATGTTAATAATGTATACACCCCTACTCACTTTCTTTAATTAAAATTGTTCCATAAATTAAGCTGAGTTCCCTGGCAATCAAGATGGGTTCTGACTTGCTTGATTTTTGCCTTATCGGTAGACAATCAGAATGGGTAGAATTATGTCAATTATCTATGTTTCCGATTGTCTAAAATCGATTGTTGAGAAAATACGCACTTTAAAAATTGTATGCATCGCATGTTGATACACATTGCGTTTTAATGCAATATGTTAAATTAGTGTGTGAAGCGTGCCATTTATTAACTGTTTTAACCGTTCTAACTAACCATTGAGCTAGAGGCCAGCTATATACATGAACTTGTGGGTTAGAGCTTGGCAACTGTGCTCAGTTGGTTAGAGCGCCGCACCGGAATCACAAGGGCACAGGTTCAATTCTGCCAGAGGGCCCATGTACAGTACATGTAGTCGCATCTAATAAATTTATAAAATTTCAAAATTTCCATCTACGACACCAGCTGATTGACTCTTTTTTACTAACATAATTACAGCAGAGCTCAATGACGAAGTGACAAAGTTACGAATTGCTCGTGAAGAGAATGCAAAGTTACTGGCCGATTTACAGAATGTTTCGGCAGAACGAGATGACCTCAAGACTGCCGTGTTGATTGCAGAGACATCCAGTGATGATAAAGAAACAGCAATGAAATTTAAATATCAAGAAGAGATTGCTTCTCTGAAGGCGATCATGCATGGTAAGTTCATGTGTGGTCTAGCTAATGCACCCCCCTGGAATGTTAGGGCTTAGAACATATCTCCCTAAATGGCTATCACTTTTAATACAGCAGAAAAAAATGTAGGCACAAACAAACATTAAAATTAACTGAGTCACTTTGCAGGGTTTTTTTTCAGGATTTTCTCTTGGGTCCGTTTTTGCAGCGAAGATTGAGTTTAGCTGAACAGCTGGGGTGGCTGCACCCCCCCCCCCCTACCGGGGGCTGACACTTGTACTCAATAAATGTAGTTGAGATGGAATGTTTTAAAGCAGGGGCACTGAGGGACACTATAAACTGGTTAAAGATGGTGAATGCATAGTTTTTCTTGTGTTGTGAGATGAATTCCAGCCATTTTTTCTTAATTGTCGGGTTTCCAACTGAAAACTAATTTCCACACGTCACAAATTTAACTCAAACAACTTCATTTTTACTGCACTGAAACTTTGGTGAGAAGATTGAGTTTCAAAACTCAATTCAAGATTGAGTTTTTGGGGCCGTTTAACAGCCCTAAAAAATCCCTGAAAAAAAACCTGCTTTGGTCAATTATTTGACCTTTCCCGCGAGGTGGTGTTCATGAATTTACAAAATATCTCGGGGAGGTGTAAAACAACCTCAGTGGATATTTAGAAGTAGAAGTTGTAGTAGAAGTAAAGGTTGAACAAAAGAAAATACTCTGCTGTTCGTTTTCGTCAGATGCAGTTCAGGACACGAGACAAGATGCAAAGGAGAAATACGAGGCTGAACGTATGACGCTGGTGGTAGCCAATCAAGAACAAGAGAAGAAACTAGCCAAATACAAAGCACAAATTCGAGAACTAAAATCAAAACAACAACAACAGCAGCAGCAACAACAACAGCAGCAGCAGCAACAACAACAACAACAACAGCCACTACAGGAAGATAATAACGACGGATTGTTTGATGTGTTGCCACGGAAACAACATGCAAGTACACCAGAGCCTATTGCAGAGACCGATGAAAATCTTGAAAACAGCATGAAGAAGGTAATTATAACAGATTATCTATTTTTAAGTTGGGTTTCCTCCGGGTGCTCCGGTTTATTCCCACAGGGAAAGTTGGCAGGGCGGGTCAAGATAAACATAGTTAGGAATTAGGTAATATCTCGAGTGTAATAATCGGTACATGTATACAATTTACTCTCAAAATTTTTATCTAGTATGTACATCTGTAGTGTATGATTTTTAAAATATTGCCCAACTCTACTAGTCTATGATTTCACTTTTGCGATTTAGCTCACAAAAATGAGCTGCATCAAGAGAACTTGAAAAAATATCCAATTTCATGAATGTTGGATTTCTTACTATAATTTTTTAAGGCTCAAGAAGATGCTGAAACATTAAGATCTATTGTGATGCCACTAGAAGAGGTAATTTATATACAACCCTATTAACCTAGCCTGCATAGCAGGTGCTATTGTGGGGAGGGTGGGAGAAGGTGGGGGGAAGACAAAGGCGAGAGAGCGAGGGAAAATGGGTGTGGCAACCGTTTTGCCTCGCTCTCTTTCTCTCGCCTTTCTCTCGCACCTGCTACACAGGCTACTATTAACCCCTTTTAACCCATTCAGCTCCAGCGCTCTCCCCTTGATTGGTAAAATTATCTGGCATTAGACAGAGTAAAATAATATAGTAAGGGGTAGGGGCACATGTCATGGGTGTATTGCAGCTTAATGGGTTAACAAGATGCACTGGCAGATTATTATTTCATTATTAACCCATTAATGTGCACCACTCTCCTTTGACAAGTAAAATTATTTTACTTGTCAAACCTTTTATACCTCAATTAACCATTAATGTGCAACAGCCCTGGATTGAAATATAATTGTTTAAATTTAGTCCTTTTGTTTTGCTCCATATCTTGGGTTTTTCAAGAGATTTTCATTTTTTGTTTTTATTAGATAAAAGTATGGTTTCTTGTGCAATTAGTGAAAAGAACATGCACGAGTGAGTTTTTCAAAGACTATCAAGTATCAAATCCGAAGTAGAGTGCAATTTGAAGTCTTTGAAAAACTCACGAGTTAATGTTTTTTCAAATTGCACCAGAAACCATACTATTACTTCTTAATAACATACATGAAAAAATTATGCAGTCACTCGTAAAAACTCCTAAATGTTTGTTTTTTGTATTATTTTTTCTGGAAATTGCTGTATCTTATTGGCTATCTTTAATAACAAAGATCTATGTAATTGCTGTATCTAATGGACCTATTCCCTAATGAACAAAATTTTGATCTAGACAAACATTTCATCACAGCTTGAAAGAGCATCACAAAATTAGTAATATTCCGAAGTTTCGTTGCGAAATGTTGTAAAATACGGATAATATAGCCCTGCGAAGGTTGCCGTTTTTCAGTCATTTCGTATTACGCACGGGAAATTGATACCGCTTTCTGAAAAAAGGTATCAATTTCCCGCGCGTAATACAAATTTTGTGATGCTCTTTCAAGCTGTGATGAAATGTTTGTCTAGATCAAAATTTTGTTCATTAGGGAATACAGTAGGTCCATTAGCTATCTTTGTTATCGGTTCATATCAGAAAGCTTAAATAGTCAATGAAATTTGCACTGTATTTCTTTTTTTTGCACATGTATTTCGAAAAAATTGCCCAGCTCTTAGCGAATCAGAATTGAGAAATGTTTTCGTGTATATTATAATTATATATGAACTAAAATTTTGTAGGAAATCGCCTCGTTGAAATCAAAGCTAAGGAATGCAAATGAAAAAATAAGTGTTTTAGAAACCAAACAAGAAAAGAAATCTGTAAAGGTGAGATATTTATATCATCACAATGTAGTGTATGAAAGTAAGTATTGCTTTTATACCAACAGAACGACTGCACGGTGAAAATAACTAATCTGTCCTTCACTAGCCATCACGGACTGACCAGACGCATGAAATGTCACGTGGAAATGAAGATATGGAAGAAAAGGTACTCTCAACTACTTTTACTTCAATTTCATGGGGTTCTTTTTCGAGGGGGGGGGGCAGCTGTAGCCTTAGTATCATGGCTAATCACGCTTTATTTTACAAATAGAGCTTGACATGATGATTTATACTGAAAATTCCATCCACCCGCATTTAAGGAAGGGAAAACAGGTCCTGATACTCAGGCTGGGGGGGGGGGTGTTATCCAGTTGATCTCGGAATTAGGAAAAGGCCTGGCACTAGTTGTAAAATAGAAATCCATTTCTGGTTTAAAAGTACTCAATATCTCATCAACGATATTAGATTTCTATCTCAAATTTGTCCCAGACATTCATATCTCTGTGCAAGACACAGAGACAAAGTTTCAAACAGTTTCACAAAAGAATCAGGGCATGACAAGTGATTAAACGTACGAAACTGGATTTTTATTCTGTTGCTAGTAGTCCTTTTGCCCACCTGGATAAATGCTTTTGGCTCATTTCCACACAAGAACAATTTCCACGGTCAGAAAGTTTTCCGAAAATATCGTTGTTAAAAGTTGAAAATTTTCAACTTTGAAAATTTGTAGAAATGGGCCTTAATTCTCGGATTCTCCATTAGCCATTCCAAAGTTGATGAGAGGACTGAGGACGAATGTTAAAAAGTGCCCGCCTTAAGAAATGAACCAAATCACTAAAAAGACCACCTCAAAATTAGCAAGCATGCAAAGTTTGAAGAATGAAGACATTTACATGAATACCCCTTACGAAAATCGCGATATTTACTATGAAATGTACTGCAATTTTTGTTTTTGGCACGCGTGTCGTGTTTTCGAAAGCTTATTATTCGAAGGGTATTCATGTAAACGTCAAACTTTGTATACTTACAAATTTTGAGGTGGTCTTTTTAGTGATTTGGTTCATTTCTTAATTTTGGCACTTTTTAACACTCGTTCCCAGTCCACTCATCAACTTCGGAATGGCTAATTTCTCCCACTTATGAATTTTTCTCATTCCTGTAGATAAAAGAATTAAGTCAGTATTTAGAAGCAGAACGATCAGCCAGAACAGATCTTGAAATGTTCGTAGCGGTTTTAAACACACAAAAGGGTATGTGCCGAGATACTGCATGTATGTGCAGAGTAGAAATTAAAATTAACATCCTTATACCTATTTTGTGTGTGTTGGTGTTATGTAGTCAGGTGAATATGATGTTTGTGATGTTACTCTGAGTGTAAATCCACACCGGGAAAGCTGAAAAGTTTGCTTGGCCACGGTGGGAATGGACCTTTCACCTTTTGACTAAAATTTAGATTTCAAAAAGTCTGGACAAAAATTTTATCACAGCTTGAAAGAGCATCTCAAAATTAGTAATATTCCGAAGTTTCGTTGCGAAATCTTGTAAAATGCGGATAATATAGCCTTGCGAAGTTTGCAATTTTCAGTCATTTTGTATTACAAACGGGAAATACATACCCTTTTTCCGAAGGAGGTATGTATTTCCCGCGCGTAATACAAAATGACTGAAAATGGCAAACTTCGCAAGGCTATATTATCCGCATTTTACAACATTTCGCAATGAAACTTTGGAATATTACTAATTTTGTGATGCTCATTCAAGCTGTGATAAAATTTTTGTCTAGACTTGTTGAGATCTAAATTTTAGTCAAAAGGTGAAAGGTCTATTGAACCCGCGACCTTTGGGATACTAGTCCAATGCTCTTCCAACTGAGCTACGAGGTCAAGTCGGTTCGAGGTCAACGGTTCGAGGTCAACAGCTAACTTTTCAGCTTGCCCAGTGTGGATGCACACTCAGAGTAACATCACAAACATTCTTACACCTGTATTTCAATTTGTTGTTAAATTTCAATCCTTAAAATGACATCACAAATCAATGATTTGAAGAATTAGAATTACGGATTGCAATTTAGATTGATTTAAAGGGAAATGGTATTCTTTCATTTGAAAAAAAATGTTTCCACAAATTTCAGGTGTTCTGCAGGAAGATGCTGAAAAACTCCGGAAAGAACTTCACAATGGTTAGTTGAATTTTGTAGTTATATTTGCTTGGTTATATTTATATGGTATGGTATGGTATGGAATGGTATGGCATGACATGGTATGGTTTGGAATGATATTGTATGACCTGATATGGTATGGTTGATATGGTATGATGTGGTGTGGTATTTTATAGCATGGTGTGATATGGTAGAGTATAGTATGACGTGGCAATGCATCCCATAAAATGGTGTGGTATGGTATGGTATGGTACAATATGGTATGGTATTTTATAGCGTGATATGACATGGTGTGGCATGACATAGCATAGATGGTTTTAAGTACTATTTAAAAAACGAGCAGGAGTGTTTTATTAGGTTTAAAGCCACGAGCGCGCAGCGCGAGTGGCTTTAAACCTAATAAAACACGACCTGCGAGTTTTTTAAATGGCTTCAAAAACGTTTGCATAATAAGTCAAATCTGAATGTGAAAAATCTTTATATAAAAATCTTTATATAAAAATCTTTATATAAAAATCTTTATATAGTTTGCATAACAATGGTCTTTTGTTAAAGTGTTCTTTAGCTGGTATAAAGACGTATGCACGTGACTAATTTCTTACTCAAGATTGGATAATTGCTTCATGAATTATTAATGATTTTTGAAGTATGGTTATCGAATGTATTGTGGCTGTATTTATTTATATGGTGAACGTAGATATTTTTGAAATAGTTTATTCCAACCGTGTCTTTGATTTCTTCTAGTTTGTAGATTACTCGAGCAAGAAAAAGAGGAACACATCGCGTTGAAAGACACTTGGGGCATGGCCAATGATCGCTTTTTAGAAACACAACGTGCACAGAAAGTTGAAATGGATAAAATTAAAAAACTTTTGACAACCGAACAACTTCAACTTTTAGGCGAAGACCCCAAGGATAAAAAAGACACCGTTGAACTATTGACGCCTCCATCGCCTTCGAGCGCCAAACGATTTTTGAATCGTAAAATGAATAAAGGCACAAACAAGAAAGAGAATATTAAAGCAAGAAAATCTGGTTCGTCTGAACCTAGACGATCGCTTGCGAGCCTTGTCCAAAGAAGTCCCAAGTCGAACAGTCTGCCTTCTACACCATCGTCAATTTTAGATGTAAGTACCTTATTGTATTTAAATTTACCACCATTTGCGAAGCATTTTTGTATCTGCGCGTAGCGCAGATATATTGCTATCGCGTCAGTCAGTAAAGTAAAGTAAAGTAAAGTAAAGTAAAGTTAAGTAAGTTAAGTTAAGTTGTTAAGTCCGTCAGCCTTGTTTTGAAGACCTGTTCGCAGGAAAGACACTTGGGGCATGGCCAATGATCGCTTTTTAGAAACACAACGTGCACAGAAAGTTGAAATGGATAAAATTAAAAAACTTTTGACAACCGAACAACTTCAACTTTTAGGCGAAGACCCCAAGGATAAAAAAGACACCGTTGAACTATTGACGCCTCCATCGCCTTCGAGCGCCAAACGATTTTTGAATCGTAAAATGAATAAAGGCACAAACAAGAAAGAGAATATTAAAGCAAGAAA